CACTTTATCATCATCACATCGCTGGATCAGCACAGGACAGCATAATTTAGTTATCAACTGTATCATTCATTTCCAACTTTTTCTTTTCTTTTTAGGGATGTTTTTGGAAGGCAAAAGAAGATGCTGGCCGATCATCTAAAAAACATGGAAGATGACCTCTCATTGACCAAGACACAGTTACGTAAAGAACTAGAATGGAAAAATGAAATGGAGAATACTTTACAGAAAGTATTGAAGGAAAAACGTGAACTTCTCACAAAGTATGTAGAAATGTAATATAGTATGAACCAGTTTAATCTGCCTGTCAAACTGTCATCGGAACTGCATATGCATATACTGCAGTTTTAATGTTCTTCTGTTTACTGGCTGCTCTCCAATTATATTACAGTAACCTTTTCACCACCAGTTCTCTCTTTTCATCATAAATTCACAAAATAGTCTTGTTTATAGTCTGTATATTACTTCAAAAGATTGGGAAAAAAGACAAAATTTTGGAGTAATTTCATTCTAAAAATTGACTTTGTATGCTCTAAAATTAGGGTGCATTTCCAGAATTGTTGATCGATATAAAAGAATAGGTGCAGAAAAATTTGAGTGAGAAAGTTTGGTGGTCAAAAGGTTGAATGTACTATGGGCTACAAAATATATTTAAAACATAAACATAACTAGCTTCAGGATTGTAACATTAGATTGCTCCCCAAAAAACTTTTAACTATGACCCAACATAACATATGATTTTGACAATTGTTCAAATTGTATGCAACTGGCGTTCAGTATATTTTGTTCTACTTGCTTGATTTTGTTTCATTTTCTGCTAAGATTAAAGAGACATACCAACATTTAGCTGACCAAAGAACTAAAATACTTGAGAAGATCAACTGTTTCATTAAAAAAAAAAATATTTTCTAAATACTATTTTGATAGATTAATTGAAATAGAAGAAACACATCGAGATACAACAAATACGCTGACAACTGTAGATTATCGTGCCAGATATTTGGACCAAGAGAATGCAACTTTACAGACGAAGCTGGAATCCATGATTAGACAGAAAAATATCATGGAGAAATTACTCAAGGAATACAAACTAGAGAGGCAGAAAGAAGTAAGAAAATTTATTTTTATGATACAGTACATGAATTTGTTGATATAAGTTGGATTGCTAATCTGTAGTGTGTTAGAAGTCAGTTTTTTTGGTTTCTATGGTGATGCACGTATTGATGGTTGTCCATGCTTGTTTAGATGTTATTCAATTATTCTTTTCACCACCAGTCCCCTCTTTTCATCACAAATTAGCAAAATAGTCCCGTTTATAGTCTGCACTTTCCTTCCGAAGATTGGAACAAAAATGAAAATTGACTTAAATTTTGTCTGTTATATAGCTCTAAAATTAGAGTTCATTACCAGAAATATTGAAGAATGTAAGAAAAAATGAAGAAAAATTTGGGCGAAAAAGTGGTGAAAAGGTTAACCAAAGTCAATTATTGTCCTCATTCATAAAATAAACCTGCATAATATTTTTATGCAAATTTTTACTAAAATTTGACCAAAATTTGGTTCAAAAATTATAAAAATTTAATATTAGAAAAAATAGCAAAATGTTTCACTTAAAATGGATAAAATAATGATGGTGCTCAAAGAGCTAGATACTGTGTGTGTTTTGAAATTCATGATTACTCAGATATTACTAAACATTTTGTTTTGTTTTTCATAGGATATAACAAGAGCAATAACAAATAATGGGTTACTGATGTCATCACGTCCTGAAACACCAGGTAGCATATCAGGTTTTAGGCCGCCAACTGCTAGTAGTGGTATTGGTACATCATTGGCGTAAGTATAGTATTTATAAATTGTCACCTTTGTTGTCATCTGTTATCATGTTGGCTTCAACAATAAAATTGATAACACATGGATAGCATTTGAAAAGTTAGAACGTTGATTCAAGTTCATGTTTTGGATTATTACATTACTAATTTAAATAATTACTATGAATAAATGAGAATTTTTAGTTCTACAGTTCTCAAGTACCACTAGTCAGATTTTTAATGAAACTTGGTACATATATGTCCCAGGGTAATGCACAGATTAGTTTAGGGTTGAAAATAATGCATATTGTTTACCTATCTCGCACATCAAAATTGGACTTAAATTATAAACTTTTTGCACAGGTGCACGTGGAATAAATTACACTGCAAACCAGAGATGTACAATCATATGTAATCCTTTTGTTTTTAAACTTCAATACTATGGATCCCACCATGCATCTCAAATAGCAGACTTATATTAGTTTTCAGCCTTTTTAAATTTTTAATTAATTTTAAATATTCCGTTTTCACTGCAAGTGTCTCCAATCCTCTCAGCACACAGGAATCTTTCCCAGGCATTTTTGATTAGTTGATATTTTTGGCATTTTTAGTAAAAATCACGTCTTAGGTTTGTTTACATAGTTTGGCGTGAATCATCACAGACAGTAGTGATTTAACTCTTAGTATTTTTTTCTTGCAGACACAGTTTCAACTCTGGTGACATTCTTAATAATCCTGATGTTGGATTGAAATCACCACCAATGGTAGATTCGTCATATCTTAACGGACTTCCTGTTACAAGGCCCTTCACTTCGTCCGGTATGAGAAACTACAATAGCTCGTTAGGGGGCAGTATGGACACTCTAGACCAACTTTATTAGAAATGGTATGCTCAGTTGTGCTCAAGGGGCATGTGCTGCAATGTTTTTAAATAGACTTGGATACTACAGTATCATGATGACTTGCAAATCAAACAGTTGATTGTGTGCATGAATCAGTGTTGGTGCTTATGACTTCCATAAAAATCTTTTTAACGTCATTGTACTTAAATTAGAGAGATTCAGTCTTCTCCACAAAGGTTATTTTAACAGAATAACCCACCAATCAACTTATAGAACCACCAACAAAACTACCAATCTATAATGTACGGTAGTAACATAAAACTTAATATAAATGGTTATATTCTAATTGCATAATGAGGCCACCTAGCTTCATGGAATAATAGCCAGCTGTTATGTCAAGTTGTAAAATAGAAAAGAATTTTTGTATGCGCCCTCAGGTCACAAAACTTTAATGTGTAAATGTCACTGTATTTACTGTCATTTTATTTTCAGTTGCAAGTCTGATCAGTTTCTTTACTGTACAGGAATATGTTGGGAAAAAAGGGATCTAGATCTGAATAGTTCTATAAGAGAAATTAAACTACAGTGAAAATAATGTATATTTTTGTATTAATGAAATTTTTGGGTTCAGTCACAGGATGTATCTAGTGTGTATAGTAATGTATACAACTTACAAATTTGAAGGTTTTATATTTATTCAATTTTATTTTTGTTCTTTTGAATTTTTATAGATTTTAATCAAAATCATTCATTCTGTAAATAGATTCTGTTTCTACATAATATTTAACGTAAAAATACAATATAAACTTTGTATCGAATATGACAGTCTTAATTCATTGTACATTTAGTTTTAATCAGTCACTATATCCAAAAAAACAGTTTTCCATTATGCTGCTTTCATGACTAAATGTTCAGAGGATTCTAAGCATTATGAGTAGGATCAATGAATACTCTTGGGGAATGTGAAATTATAAAACACCATACAACCATAATAGTGTATATGAAATATGTTGAAACTGCAAATTTGGGAATTAATTCTGATACAGGCACTTTAAAAAATGTTTGACCTTTCGGTGAATTTATATGTATATATAGTAATTACTTCTATTATCTTACAATGGTTTTCACAGGTTTACCACAGTTTTCGTGCTGCATTGTGCATTTAATTTGGTTATATTCACAAAATTTCAATTCATATGCTGTAAACAACTGTGGCATTTTAACGTTGAGATTAGTGTGATTAGTTGTTTATTTCAGTTAATTGCTGGCCGTCACATTTAACCCCACCCCTCCCAAAATGAGCATTACCGGTAATGCTTGTAAGTTGCCATATTGTTCAAAATGTTTAAATTATGTAAATTATTTATATCAAGGCTAGTGTATTGCCAGTTTTATGTATATCTTTTTTTTACGGGTAGACCAGTAACTCTCAGAGTGATGGCAGAATTTAAAAAAAAAAGACTGCAAATTCATCATAGAGAGAAAAAAAATAGCACAAATCTGTTGGGTGAACCCCCCCCCCCCCCCAAGTTTCTAATTTCCCCACCCAATCACTATGGGTTACAGTTCTTGTATATATTGCTTTAATTTCAAAGTACAGTTGAGTACAAAAACAATTAAATGCAAAAATGATGTTATAGTATAAACAAAGTAGTTTATTAGTTGAATTGTGGTGCAAAAAAACATAACTTTTGTGTCTTTGTCATATATCATTGAAATATTGTAATTTCCCAGTGCAACTTTGTGCATGTTAACTAAAAACAAATTTGTATGAAATTTGTCAGGAGTGAAATTGGTGTTCTTTGTGTGAAGATGTTCTGTGCTTCCGTCCTTTTTTATTTATCAGTACTAATGTTTTATATATTTACATTCATCAAGGGTTTATAAGATTAGGCTATACAAGAGTGAAATATGCCATGAAGATAACAAATTGAAGAAGTCACACAATTTGCGATATAATCACAAAAACTTTTTGAGAAATTCTAATGCAAATTAGTGAGTCTGCAAAAAACTGGTCTGTGTTCATCTCAGACTGTTTTGTTGGTGTTCTTGCAGATCTAAAAAATGTGTAAGGGTTTGCATTTTTTAAAGTGACAAAAATCTCACTCATTTTTGATTACGCAATTGAATGTTTCCATGCAACCACTGTGTTCTGTGAAGCTATTGGTTAAAACTGTCAAACCTTTCCAAGCAACCAATGTGTTCTGTGATGCTATTGGTTAGAACTGTCAAACCTTTCTAAGCAACCAATGTGTTCTGTGAATGCTATTGGTTAAAACTGTCAAACCTTTCCAAGCAACCAATGTGTTCTGTGATGCTATTGGTTAGAACTGTCAAACCTTTCTAAGCAACCAATGTGTTCTGTGATGCTATTGGTTAGAACTGTCAAACCTTTCTAAGCAACCAATGTGTTCTGTGATGCTATTGGTTAGAACTGTCAAACCTTTCCAAGCAACCAATGTGTTCTGTGATGCTATTGGTTAGAACTGTCAAACCTTTCCAAGCAACCAATGTGTTCTGTGATGCTATTGGTTAGAACTGTCAAACCTTTCCAAGCAACCAATGTGTTCTGTGATGCTATTGGTTAAAACTACCTTTGATTGAAGTGCACAAAACAGGATCACATTCAAAATTATGCAAATCGTGAGAGTTCACTTCTCGTGAGATCTTTATCGCATAACATCGTATTTGATCATGGCAGTTGCAAACCATTATTTTATAAATCCTTGTATTTATACACATTAATCCAAACCACCATACTGCGCTATATGTTTCAAGTATCCCTTACAATATTGTAGAATAACAATTTGATTTTAACCCTTTGAATACCGAAACATCCCTTTCTAACATTTTGTAAATTATGTATTTAATTATAAAATACTTTGTTAATTTTGGACAAAATGAATAAATGATTACTATAAAATATATTTTCCCAGTAGAAATGCTTGCAAAACACTATTCCTATAAATAGCACTCTCTAGTGGTAGAGTGCTTCAAAATGAGGCAAAGTCATTTATATCGACAACTTTGTTTGTTTGTTTGGTCATTCATCATCCAGAATATAGTAAAATTTCTCCAAAACATCTAGATTGATGGACGACTACAGATCAAAACAATGTTTTGAATGGAACTGATTTGTGTCACCAATTTCATCCATAGAAGCATTTGCCCAGTTTGTAGGGAAAGTATTTGATGTGCTTTGGGAATAGTTTTCACGAAAGTCTTTTTCAGAACCGCAGTCAGTCTGTATATACTGCTACAACATTTTGTGATTTATCTTGATTTTCAAAATTCATGAAGATTTTCTTCAAAGAATGTGCTTGTAGTTATTTTTGAATGTGTTTAAATTGTCATAACTTGGTGCATTTGTTTGATACATTGTAAATATATATTTTCAGTTTTTATTTTACCATAAAAATAGAAGCCTAATTTATTTTCATATTTCAAGCTTACTGTCAATTGCAAATTTTTCCAAATGTTTTCACAGCAAACCACAATAAAACTGTGGTTCCTGTAATGCCTTAACCGTTTCATTAGCATTAGTCATTTTGGCACGAAATAAACCCAACAAATTTGTTTTTCCAAAACTTTGATCAGGATATGGAGCTAATTTGGAATTATCAAGGCAGCATATCAAATTGGTTCAAAATTTGTTAACAAAAATATCAAAAAAATACCATTAAAACATGTCAAATGCTGGACTAATATTTCAGTGAAAAAGGGTTCAACTACATTCAAACCAATTTTTTTTCAATGGATTTTTTTTCAGTTTTTTCACCCCTTGATAGAAAAAATAATTTCAAGTGAAAATAAAGCATTCAACAGTATTCAACTTTGACAGTACATAAAGAATATGCAAATTATTTGGAAGTTTATGTAAAAATATATTTTATAAAAGTGTCATGGTCGCAAAGCAAGTGTTTGTATGTTCATTTGGGAGAGGGAAATGATCATTTCAAAATAAGTATATAATATTGGAAAATATTTTTGTATATATGAAGCTTTTGTCTCATGTCTGTAAAACAATAAATATGTATATATTGAGAATTTGTATATTTGGTTACGTGGTATTATTTGCAAAGTATTGAGGTTATTCTCTGCTAATATTGACCCTGAGAAAAGGGATGAGTGTGAAAAGTAACAGTGGAAAGCACACATTTTCGGTTTTTACACTGATATCATATGTACTAATTATTCCATTTCAATGGAACTTGGTACATTGATGCTCTAAAAAATGCACAGACCTGTTCAGTTCTGGGTTAAATAATTCATGTTTTGGTTCTGTGACAGTACTTATCTTAATTCAATGAATCTTGGTACATATGTATATATCTAACAAAATGTGATGATCTAATTACTTTTAGGTTTATTTACATCTATAATAATAATTTACTTTTCAGCCTTCCACTAAGTTAGTTGGGATTACTCATCTCATTGTGATTAAATTTTGTACATGTGCGTTCTGAAACTATATCAGACTTAAATCTATGCATAATAATTTGTATAATAATTCATTTGGTTCATTGAGGTAATCCACAAATATTAGTTTAATGATAAACATGCATATTGATTATCCGTTATTAGCCCATCTCGGATATCTAAAAAAATCAGATTTAAATTGAAATCATCACAGAGCTGCCCTGGAATTAATTTGACTAAAAACCAAGGATCTATTTTTTGTATTATAAATTTTAATAATGTTGTGCATCATAAATAGCATATTGAATATTATATTGCCAAGCTTCTCGTTTGAAAAGCAAATCTTAAATTTTAAATTAATTTTATTATTGTGTCCCTAATACTTCACAGCAAACAGGAGATCCAAGCTTTCTTTGATTATGTTCGATATGAAAAAGTTGTGGAATACTGTAGAATACTTTATTTTCGCTTGGAATTGAAAATAAAATCAAGCGAATATACTTTTTTTCCAAAATTCACATTAAACTCATCAGAAATCAGTGAAAATAAATTCCATACAAAATGCCCAAAAAGCCTTTTCAGCGAAAATTAATTCCAGCGAAAATAAAGTATTCCACAGTATATTATTGAGTTTTAATTATTTGTGAAACAGTAGATTTTCACCCTACATTTGCATCAAGGTGTAGTCAAAATGACCCTTAGATAATTTGTTTATATCTGAAATTTCCCGTTAATCTACGAGGAGGGGTAGTATAACGAAGTTACGGTATACTGCGAATTTGACGAGTTTTGCACGGCTTATTTTAAATCCTGTGGTCATGGCGGATGTTTACAGCGCTATTGTGTAAATCGCAATTCTAAACCAGGTGTAGTCAACCGCAATTATCAGCCGTGCTCATTGGCTATAACAGATGTGTTGAAAAGCTAGAGCCAATCGGCATTTACTCAGCAGAGTTTGTGTTGTTTAACAATAGAATCCACCAACAGTGGACTTTATTGTATTACCATAACCAACACTGATTGGACCACGTAGAATTGCATATAAAACATTCGATCACGTGAATTTGGTGCTTATTTGTGAGAACAGTATTAGCACGTTGTTGGGTGAACTCCGGAGATCCGCCAGAATCATGTCCGC